TAATTTTATATCCTGTTAGAAATAGCACTGCTAGCAAACGTGTAAAATAAGCAATACGGTTACCAACTATCTACGTTACCAATCTGTTTGGTACCTTAGTGATCACTGTTAATATTAGTTCGTTCATTACCATGCATCATAGCATTTTCTCGGATTATTTTACTTTTTGTGTATATTCACTGTCATTTCCTATACCTCACTGTCTTCAGAAATCATCATTTGGTATGACTAGATTGTATTTAGCAAATATCTCGGGTGATTATGGTATAGAGATGACCTAAATAACCGCAACGTGTTTCCAACCAGTTCTTATTCTATCAGAAAACCGCTTTTGTAAGTGCGTAGTTTATGAAAACGAAGACAATAATACTACAAAATGTAAAGAGATTGTACATATTTATTGAATTTGTAGAAGTCTTCTACAGGTTAATCTACCTGGTAATAAAAAAACATATAAAGTCGTCCTTGTGGATTTCGATTATCCGTTTCTTCAATCCCTTATAGGGACTGAAATAGATTCTTAAGAGTCCCCCACATTTTTCTTGGTCAGGGTTGTATATTTGTGGTAAGGATCGAGATCTTTTCAGTACGGACTTCTATCAACCATAAAACAGAACTGATTTTTAGGCATTTGGATATGAATGAATTTCTCACAAAAATCTAATAACTGCTATCTGATTGGTTTGTCCATAAAATATAATGTCAGTAAATTAATATTTGTTTTAAGGATAAAGTGTTGAGAGCTTAGGTATAGTGTCGAGTTGTTTGTTACTTTCAGTCTACTGAGAAAGAACTGTGAGTTTGGTAAGTTTAGCAATATTATTCTTACTCTATAATCGCAAAAACTGAATTATTATATTAAACGTTCTGAGCACAATATGAAGATATTTCTACTGTTCGTTATACGTGATATTTAAATTCTCCACAAAAGCTTAAATGTCACCTTCTTGATTCTGCTTGTCTCGTATCTATAATTTTACCATCTTTTGTTCTACGTTAATTTTTGTTTTATTCTCGGGCAAATGTCTATCTTCATTTCAGAATGATGAAATTGTTCGAATGAAAAGTCGTATGCAAGAACTGGAAGAAGAACGTAATCGGTTACATCGAGTCACATCTGCACATTCATCTCAGTTAGAGAAAATGAAAAAAAGCTTAGGCGAAACACGCGTTCACTGTAATGAACTAGAGACAGAAAAGACTAATTACAAGAAGGTATATTATTATCCAGTTAATGTTTCATAGTTGTGCTTTGCTTCGTTTTTGTTCCCTATGATCTTATGCAGACTAATCAATTAAAATACATTTTACATCATTATATGATATCGTTTGTATAGAGTTCTAATAAAAGGCAAATTTTAGAGTAGATATATCAAGTGACAGCTTTATCGTTTAAACGCTTAACTTGTCACCACTGTATGGGCAGTTTAAACTTCGTCCTACTTTCAATGTAGGCATCTACAAAGTATCACTGACGCCTACACAAAATCAATTTCAAAAGCTGATACTTAGCTATTAATTTGAACTGAAACAAAATGTGCTGGTTCGCGATGATAATGCCTAAAATTTTCAGGTCAACATTTTCTCAGTTATTCATCTATTCATTGGTCCGTGTATTTTCGGAAGAAAGTACGTCTTGTTTAATTAGTGAAGTAGTTCTTGTATTATTAGATAATCTAAAGCAGTGATTAAAAATTCTTTCGGAACAACATACAAACATAACGTAGGCTAGCATAACGAGATCAAGGAGCGTCTTCTGTGGTTTCAAAATCGATTCATTTTGTAAAACATTCTACCTAGCCTTGTGTGTCTTTTTGAATTTTCATGCAGATGTATTTAGCTACTCATGAGTACGTTGTGTGCATTTGTGAATTTTGATGGGGATAACTTTTTGGGTTTATGTATTCATGGAGTTATTTGTAACCAGCGTTCTGTAGTATCCCCATTGTCTGTAATTTTCTTCTAACTTCCGCTTGAGTCTTTCTTTTTAATAGGTTTGTGTTTGTGTGACTAGTTATGAGTTTTCGGACACTAGGTAATCTAAACTAAAAATAATGATATAAACACACAAAATTCCCTTATTTGTACTACTGTTAGTAATAATAAAAATATAATATTTAACATGAACCTAACGACAAACATGAACTCCAAACACTTTTATTAATGTTTCGAACGTATTATTTAAGTTTTATTCCCGACTACTTCAAAACTATATACCTCTTTTTGATGGAGTTTTGTTCTCTGAGCTGGATGGTTTGGTCGTGGAGCTTTCATCGTTCTTCTGAACGATATCATAAGTATAGATTTCAGGTAGAAGTTTAATTGTTATGTACTCATTCACATACCTGTTGGACTTCTATTTCATCATACTAAAACCAACTGAATTTCGTTTATCTTAAACAGGATTATGATTCACTTAAACGTAATTCTGATCAGCAAGTTCTCGAAATCAAATCTTTGACTACACGTCTTAATCGTGCAATTGAAGAATCTGACCGTTATAAAGCTGAATTAGAGAAGGTCCGTTCATCTACACGTGAGAGTGTTGGATCTATGCGTCATAATATGGATGATTTAATGGCTGAAAATAAGCGGTTAGAAAAGCAAAAATCCGAGTTAATTTCAACATTTAAAAAGCAAATGAAGTTGATCGATATATTGCGCAGACAAAAAGTAAGAGTGTAATTATTTATTTGAATAGATAAAAACATTTACTTCGTGAACATATTTTGTTATGTTTAAATTTCCCCTTCCTCCTATCTTTTACTGCTGAAACCACTGTCAGTTCTTTTTTTATCTCCTACCTAGTTTCTTATGCCTTACCAAGCATTGTGGTATGCCACAGTGTTATATCATTCTCTATTTATCAGTGCTTTAAGTTGTCATTTGTGTATTCGTGCAACCAACAAGTAGCACATCCAGCTGTGGTTCGTTATCGGCTTTATGCAAGTTTAAAGTGATGGGTAAATGATAAGGGTTATAATACATTTGCATCACATGGTGCACAAGCCTACGGAGTTTAATGCTCAGTTTTAACTTATGATAAACTTAATGAACTCTAGAACAATTTTTTTCAAATCTAATCTAATTTACTTAAATTTTCTCTCACTTTTCCCATTATTTTGAGTTTGAAATGTAATGATAATTTACCTTTGTTATCAAAAGTAATACAATAACCTGTCCATTTTATTGAGCTAGTGGTTAGATAACCTTACCTGAATAAACTGCATATTCATGATGGTTTTTTGTACAATAAGCAAGACTTTTTTATTTTATACTCTAATAGCCTAAAAATATTTAGATGTCAGTCGTTTAGTGCATGAAATTCTTTCTGTTCAAATGAATATTTGTAGTGTGTTATTGAAGCCAATTAGATTCTTTTCCTTTCATATTTATATTGTCCATATTATTGTTGTGTGCTTCTTTTTCCAGATGCTAATCGAAGCCTCTAAGTGCTTACAAATCACAGAAGATGAATTTCTAAAGGCTCTCGATTGGTAATGTCTTTCAACACAAGCATTTTCCTCGTAATATATTAATCTTCTGAATATTCATATTATCAATGATTATTTACGTTCTATATGCTTTATTCATTTAACTTTTCACATTTTTATTGTCTTTATACTAGATAAAATATATATCTGCTAACAAAAATGTGTTATTTATTACATTCACCATGGATTTCCTTTTGTGATGTGGATTGATCTATGTTGCTTCAGTTAACAATATTCAGTTATATCGTTGAATACTTTTTTGTAAACTAATTTTAATATCTTTTTAATTTGTTAACTATTCAATTAGTTTTTACGGTGATCTCGGTTTTCGTGAAAGTAATATATATATATATATATATATATATATATATATATATATTAAATCACTTGAGAATTACCCTGCTAACTAATATGAGATGAATAACGGATACTAATGTCGCGTTAAAGACAACAAATTGATGATGGACTTTTCCAATCGGACTGATTTACGACAAACGTAAAATTTTTATCCCATGACTACTGACATCAATAATTCTTTTTGTAATATTTTGCAGGTACCATTGAGTAACAAGTATGCTATCTAGTGATTAAAAATAAGCAAAAAATAACAGTCAATTCAAAACTTTCTGTTTTACGTGACATCTTGGGAGCTTTCGGCTATCTTGTCTACATTTTGAAACAGTCCCTTTGATAAATTTAGGCGATAAAATGAGAAGATAAAGTTCATCGGAACTATGTAATATATGTGTGTAATACACTTCGAACAATTTGATTAGATATTTGCTGGTTTTGAGTGTATTGGACTAATATATAACATGGTTCTGATAAATGATTTTTATTTGCATTATCTGTGTCTTGGGTCAATTCCTCGGATATCATGTTACTCGCTGTTGTGATCACATTACTTTTACTGACTCCATAGGGTTGATGTAAGCTTAATGTGAGCTAACTCATAAAAGCATAGTTATAAGCAGAAACTATTCTTATATTAAAATAAGCTTCAATACGTAACGTAGATCTGATTAACTTTAGGAAATTTCACTTAGAATGATCTTTCAGTACGTAATTTAGCTTGTGTATCCAGTATTTCACAATGTTAATGGTTATTTAACTTCAGAAGGAATAACTGGTACAATAGTTGGAGAGTGATTATCGCGTCATATGAAGCTTTTTCTCGTGCGTTACGGTAGAGTCCCGTTTAGTTAAGTTCAAAAGTGATTTCATGTTTTTGCCAGTATAATGAACATTCTCATGAAGTATAAAAATGAAAATCTATTAAAATTAAGGATTACCTTTTTTCTGTGTATCATGATATTTATCTTTGCAAATAAACAGTCATTTCTAAAACCAAGTACGTCAAGACATCGGTCCAAGAAAGTACGTATAAATATACATGGATCGATAAATTTTCAGGTGAAAGCTGCGATTAGATTAGAGAAATTGAAATCAAATAAAAGAAAGCTTCCCGAGATGCAGCTGTGCGTAGCTCATCCTTTTTTATTTTCCTTGCAGAATATTACATGTCTAATCCAGATTTGCTTCGAGATCTACTATCTGACTCAGTTCTAAATGCCTTGTCACTTGAGACTTTAGTCAGGCAAGGAGCAGAAGCACGAATCTATCGCACTAAGTTGTTCCATTCAACATATACTTTTCCATGTATTGTTAAAGAAAGATTCGTCAAACGTTATCGTCATAGTACATTGGATGCCACTTTGTCAATGCAGCGAATGCGAGCTGAAGTCAGACAGATGTTGCGTTGTAGAGAAGTAGGAATAGATGTCCCTCCAGTCCTTCTGGTTGATGTTCGACGACGTCGGATTTGGCTCGGTGAAGTTGGTCCAGATGCTGTCACACTTCAAGACTGGTTTAAAAACTTATCTTCTCTAGCAACTGCATCAGATTTATGTACCATGGATATCCAGGAGAAAACAGCTTCACGATTGCGAAATTTAACAACGGCATTAGGTCGACTACTTGCTCAGCTACATTCTAACCATATAATACATGGTGATTTGACTATGTCCAATATTCTGGTTCAACAGGTATTTTTTTGCAAACTTTTATAATATTGTTCTTTTAGTTCAATTATGATTTGTCATTTGCTTGAGTAACTGCATTACTAAAAATCAAGTGTTGTATATATTTCGGATCATATGTAATTCTGTACACCGATTCCATCCATGCATTGGTTAAAAAACAAAATCAGGTATTTCATGGATAGATTACTGGTGTGTTCACAGACACTTCATCACTTAGGATAACAAATTAGTAATATTTTACTTACAAATACTCATAACATAAGTTTTGTATCTCATTGACAATGGTGTTTTGTTTGTCAGAAAGTAGGTCTCAGTTCGCGACGTTTCATCTTTTGTCCTGGTAGTGATGGTGTAGATGATGCCTCTAAATGTCCTGGTATGCCCGAGTGTTGGGAGGATTCGCTGTCCTCAAAACTTTCATATGACCACGCATATATAGCCAATCGCAGAGAAGTTCTACTGACTGCTTTCTCGTGACAGGGGCGCTTTAACCAAATTGATGGGTACGGAGGACCAACTTAGAGGGGTTGGAAAACCCTGATCCTGAACCAGTGATGCACATGGGGTTAAGGACTTTGAGGGGACAATTGTGATGTGAACCTATTGTTGGTCACCGGTTACTATTGGACTGCATCTCCTAACGTCGCTTCACTGCCTTGTGGATTAGACCTCTGTGTCAAAGGCTCGGGGATTGGCCCCTTAAGAAAACCATTTGTCTATGTTTGGGCACCTGGGAAGTATCCTAGCCCACATAAACATTTGATGATAACTACTTTGTTTGGTGCATATCTATTTCGAAATCCCTTTGTATGAACATTTATGTGTGATTTCATCATAATTCATGGTCAAAATTAGTGTACAATTAACATACAAATGAGTGTATTCGACTAGGGTCGTCGTGTTTTGTGGTTAACAAATCTTTGCTTGTAACAGTCTTAGTACTCTTACTTTGCGTCGGCGGAATTGCAGTGGTTCTTTGTTTTAAAAGTATAAGTACAAAGTGATTTCGACGTAACAATTAGCGACGACCAGCCATAACAATGTTTAAATATAAAAATAAATAATAGTTGTTGATGATTGTCACAGAATGATTTTTGATCGACTGCTCTGAAACTAAGGATACAGAAATCACGGGTGTCAAAAATCCAGCTATGTCTAATCTTCATGCTTTGAACATGTTAACGCAATTGAAACAAATTCCAGAAGTAAAATCCTATACTTACGATCGCTTTCTACCTTTAAACGAACTTAAAAAAGAAGAAACTGATGAGACCGGTAAGAGGTATATCACTAGTTCAGTTTCAACATTCTGATTTACTTATGAAATTCGATTTTGATATAGTGGTAGCTAAATGCTTACCAAATGTAACACTATCAGTAAATTATTACATCATGGAGTCGTAGGATATAAATTTAGAAAATTATTGTTATTTGATTCATTCCTTGCTCTGTATCATCGCTTGAGCAATGAAGATGTTAAATCACACTTTTTAATACTAACCTCCTTAATTCAACACTTCTCCATAATTTCAGGTAGATAATTGTAACAAAGAATCCGATTTTCGAGTCGTTCCTATAGATTTTGGACTTTCAAGCTCTTCTTCTGGATTAACCTCACAACGTTTAGCAGAAGATAAAGCTGTAGATCTGTATGTGTTTGAACGGGCCTTAACCTGTGGCCTTGATCACAAAGCCCTGTCAAAAATTACCACTGACCACGCCGATTTAAATACTCCAGAATCGCTTCTGAATTTAATTATAAAGTCCTACCGGGATAATTATGTATCGACAATACTGGATGATCAACAGATAAAGTCTAAACATGATAATGCAAAATCAGGTGGTCATTTGGAAAAACAAAATCACGAAGTCAAAGAAATTTTAAACAAATTGGAGGACGTTCGACTTCGTGGTCGAAAACGTCTGATGATCGGTTGAATCGCACTTTGTGGGTGCGTTAAGTGATAACTTTCTGCAAATTATCGTACATGTACATTATTTGAATAATTGTATTTTATAATTTCTGAACCCGTTTGACGACTCTAATCCAATTTCTTTTCTTGGATACAAAGCCACTAATGAAAATAGCATGATCAGTCAGGGTTTACGAAATTCGAATCGTGATGTATCCAAACGTCTGTCACACTATCAAACTGCAGCCAAATAGAACGTACCTCCTTCGAAGTAAGTGGATAAGAAATTTAGGATACGCACTAGAACCCGTAGAATATCATAATATTGTATTAAACGCTCGCTAGCAATTAGTAAGAAAATAATGATAAATAGTTGAAGTAGGTCGTCCACAAGAAACCTTGAACCTAGGTTTGGTAATATTCTATGCTCGTTAACAAGGTATACCTGCAATCTTGTGAGAACTGATGCTTTCTGGGGTATTAGAACCCGCCTCACCTAGCTTCACAGTGAGATGCTATCACTGAGCCATTTGAGCTGTTACGGCTTCAAAAACTTGAACAGCTTCGTTAAGTAATATAAACTATCGACACTGAACAGTAGTCTCAGAATAAATACCATTACAAGTACGATAACGAATTAGTGATAATAAAAATACTTGGGATCAGCAGTTCATTGGGATGTAGGGTCAGCGGCTAAGACGTCCGACATCCACCACTAAGTTCCAGGTTTGAGTTCAAATACACCTACTTCGATTTAGGAAACAGGCTAGTATCATTACCCCTCATATTTAGGGTGTAGTACATACCCAAGTACCTGGTGAATAAGCATGTATTATTGGTGCTGTGTGATTAACTAACATTTGACTTCTAAAATTATTGAAAGCAAAATCAACTGCTGAACATTAATAAGTATAGTGACTACAAAACAGTGAGGTAGAGGTAAATAAGGTTGGAAGGTACAAAACAAATTTTATAGTAAACGTTATTCGTAGATATAGTTAAGATGTAACTGCTTAAAAGTAGGTGAGTATTGAGTACATACTATTAATTGTGTTGAGATATAGAAATAAATTGGATAAATGCAGCGTTACCTTAATGAATGTAACTTAAAAGATAGTATAGTTTACAAAATCCTAATAACACAAAATTACTGTCAATATATATATATATATATATATATATATATATATATATATATATATATATATATATATATATATATATATATATATATATATATATATATATATATATATATATATTCATGGTCAAAGGACTTTAAATAGTTAAGTTGTTATTATTTAATAAAAATTTCCAAGATCAATTTAGTTTTCTGCTTTTACCATCTCAGCTTCTTTATTGTAAACGACGTCAAATGTACTATAAAGTAAACATTTAATCTGTTATACATCAACCGAATCAATCTAAAATTGTTTACCCTTCATACTAAAATATCATTTACACTGTAGACTGAAAATCACTAATGAGCGTTGAACATGGTTATTCTTTACTGAATGATAAATATTCCTAACGAATTCACTAGAAATGTCCTCTGACATTATTTAACCAGATATCAGATCCATATCTTAAGGTCAATTCGTGTGCCAGATCGAATTAATGATAATTATCTACAACTAGAGAAATTAAAACGAAAACACAGAGCACGGAAAAACAAAGCAGTAATTACCAAAATATACCAATAAGGTCTACCTAAATGCGTGTGTAATGTGACAGTTATATACTGTTTATGTTATTCGAATTAGTTAAACTTGCTGGGGACGGTATTAACAAAAGTGACAGCAAGTAAGTGGTTTTACTTAGGGAATTCACTAATAAAGATGGCTAAACATTTAAGGTTCCTAAAATATCACTTGTGGAATGAGATACACTTAAAGGCGCTAGACCATTCAATGCATTTTCAGAGGAGCAGTATGCATCGATGCAGCGAACAAATAATGGGAGTGATTTTATCGTGCGGATAAATTGTGGTAGGTTATTCCAGAGTCTAGAAAATTTACAGGTGAAGTAATTCATATAAAGAGATGATTTAGAATGAGTTCCAAAAGCTGATCACAAGCTTACTGGCTTACTCCTGTTACCCCCTCACTTGTTTTAAATTGTTTGTTCTGGTTGGCGTTATTTTAGCAAGGTTGCTTTCTACGGGATGGGGTTTCCAACCCAATACCTAACCCGCTTTTTTACCCGGGCTTGGGACCGGCAGAAACCCTAGAAGAGTTGCAGGTCCATATGTTATTGTTAAATTGAAGAATTAAATATATCAGACTGACGTACAATGGTACAGTATGTTGACATATTTTTTTGGGATTGATGGACTGTCAAGAAACTTTGTTTTTGGCGTTGAATAAAATATAATTTGCTTTTGGTAAAATTCATTGTGGATTAAGCCGGTATATTGTTTCGATCAGTTTGAATGTCAGTAAGATGTTTTTAAGGTGGGGCTTTCTGTGAACATCCGGAAATAAAACTAGCTATGTCACTAACAAACTTTATCATGTAAATTTAAAAACAATTCCCTTTATGTATATTATACCTATGTGTACTCCTTTGTTAGACAGCACTCAGAACAGTTTATGCCACTCACCCAGTGATACTTTAATATCAGTAGCTGTAATGTAATCATGATAAATAGCGCAAGTAGTTGAGATTGATATATTCAACCAGAAAAGTAGTAATTATAAACATTCTACTGGGAAACAGATATTCGTTCTATTCACTTGAGACCAATCATAACTTGAAATTGGTGAGGTGTAATATAAACAGGATAAGTAGTTGTGTGTAGTGCATTAGGACAAACTTATGAATCAGGAGAACTTCTTAGAATATGTAAAGATGTAATTTGTAATTGAAATTCTGAATATTAAATAGGACAACTAATATATCCGGCATCGGATCTGAAGGAAGAAGAACCATGAATCCATAATGTAGTGCATACTATCTTAATTAACTGAGGGTTTTCTGTGTAGTTTAAAAACGTGTTTTAAATTAAGGAGACACTTTCGTGAAAAAGATTAAGCAGACTTATTATTTCATACCATAGTTCACTTAATCATTTTGAAAAGAGCAAGAACAAGCATTCCGCTAGAATGTTTCTTCTTGCTCTTTTCAAAACCTATTATTGTTTGACTATTTCAAACCATAGCCAGAGAACAAAACTCCACCAAAATAGTTTTATCGCTTACGAAGTATAGGCTGCTTCCTGTTGGAATACATGAAGTGCATTATTATGGCAATTCAATTTATACTTCTTTATAATAAACATCTATTTCAGTGTAAAGTAAACAAAAGTGTATTAGTAAAAGGTAACTTATGTCGGTAATATTATTTAACCTTCGAAATATTAACTAAACTCTAATTGAGTACCATCAAATGATAAATCATAAGATGCTCATATGTATGGGGGAATAAAGTATTCTTATCCATACATATTTCGCCCTATAATTCCTAAAATCTATTTGATAAAATGTAATATCTTGTGATTACTTTAAACAACAGTGTTACAATGTTCATTTCCCCCACGCGGGTTACTACTTAGGAAATTTTAAACACTAGTTGTCCTACTTTGTGTTTAAATGCATATTTACCACAATGATTATCATTACAATCAACACGTGATTTGTTACTAAGCTGATTCTAAAACATGTAATCATAATATTTAGTGATTAGTATGTATATTTTCCATGTAATCGTCCAGAGAAATAGACAGGAAATTTATTTCCCTTGTTGATTGACGTCTCAGGTATATTTTAATCATTCCTCCTGCTGGCATAAAAGATTCATTAGATTAAACATTGGGAATTCATATTACTAACCGGCAAACACAACAATAGAAATAGTAAACAAATGAATGTGTGTTTTTAAGAGAAGGAGGAGACTAGATTGGGAAAATGAAAACGAACAAATAAGAAAATAGTAAAATAGAATGAGAAACCCTTTTTTTCTTAATTTTAAATCAAAACTAACTTTTAATCAGTGTATATGTAGTAAGTTTAGTGACTGCAATAAAATAGTTTAGGGATGAAACAAAAGGGAGGAAGAAAGACCCACACTAGATTACTAGTGACATATTTGTTCAGTATAAATATTTTCACGTATTGTCGTAAATGTACTATACATCCAACTGAAAAATCTAACAAGGAAATGAACGGTTAAAAGGTAAGCCATATTAACTAAGTATTACTTTTCCAAATCATTGTAAAATGATTAAGGTAAGGGATGAGCAACTGAAGGAAATTAAACATGAAAATAATATGCTTACAATTGTGGGATTAATGTAAGTAGTTAGTTAAGCTTTCAGTCAACAAAAATGTAACAGTGCTAGTACAAGTAAGGCTGTACGGTTTGATTTTGATACACAGGATTAGTTTTTAAATCGGTTAACTAATCACCTTAATTAGTAGGAAATTTTTTTGAAATGAACATATTTCATTAAAGTAACACTGACATATCAAGTGTAAATGGGAAAGCTAAAGATCGATTACCTACGAGTAGTAATAGAGGTTTAACCATACTCACCATAGAAAGTTCATTAAAGATTATATGAATGAATGTTTAGTGCTTTTCAGTTCTTAAATTAAATCATTTTTTAGAGAAAAAGTATCTATAACTTGATTAATGAAGCTTAAAGTATAAAAAAAGTCATTTGAAATATTTTAATGACATTGGTAAAGTATCACAATAGTTCTTTTACTGTTTTAAATCGAGCATGTGAAATTTCAAACAGAGTCCTTCAAAACTTAAAAATTCCTGTTAAATTAATAAGTATACGACTGAATTTTATTGAAATTATTTAATCTATTAGTTATGTTTGATTCGTTCTAGTATAATACCTTACGTCTGTTACTCCCAATTGAGAATAAGCCGCTGACCAGCGTTCTCCAACCCACTCTGTTCTGGGCCTTCCTTTCTAGTCCTATCCAATTGTTGTTCATTCTCCTCATGTCTGTCTCCATTTCTCGGCGTAATCTGTTCTTTGGTCTTCATCTTTTCCTTTGGCCTGGGATTACTGCAGGTCCCAAGCCTGGATAAAGGAGGAAGATTGGGCATGGGGTTAGCGACCCCATCCCGTAGAAAACTAACTGGCTAAAAAACGTGTGGTGTTTGAATGAACTAATGATTCCCTTGTACTTGTTAAATGCTTGGCTTCGAATTCCAAATACAGTACATTCATTCGTTCTTATCTAGTACTTCATGATCCAGTCGCGTTATTTCTGGGATTCTTATTTAGTACTATAATTCAAATACTCCCAATTATCACAAAACGCTAACCGGAAAAAATAATTCAAACCATTTAAACTTTGCTCTGGGAGTTAGGTCTTCATTTAGAAGAGTTATGACGCCTCATGATGAAAGCCTAGTTCCTTCGGAAGTCATAAGGCCGATGCTCCTTTTAACAACCAGAGAAACAACTTTTACAGGTTTAGGAATGCTCGTACAATGTGGGAGATCAGAAGAGCCAAATTGCTGCCGAATTCAAGAGGTACAACCTGAAGGTACTAGAAATCAGTGAAACATTGAAAGCAGGTTGGACAACAACGACTAGCTTCTGTTATACTCTGGACATGAAGAAGAAAATGCTCCACATACACAAGAAGTTGCACTGATGCTATCCAGTATAATACCTACAGTACATAATGTCTTAGAAACTTTATATTTTAAAATGTTCTTCAGTTTTTCTTCATATTTTTCCTGGTAATAAATGTCAAGTTTCATGAAACCATATACATACATACCACCATTTTAAATATAACTGTCAACTAAGTAGGTTAATTCAATGTTGAATGAGATTTTTCGTTACT